GGACACCTGTGTCAGCAAAGCACTCTGGCAGGTTTGGGCCATGTGCTGACAGGAATTTTTGTGCTGGTGAAAATGGGCTCTTACACTGAACAGCGTGAACTTTGCTGACTAAAGCACTTGTTTTGTCAGCAGGAGTTATGTCAAGATGACTATAAATTTCTCTTCTCTCTCAGCTGATAGAGCTGTGATTTCAAATCAGTTCTATTCTGAAGGTTTCCATGTGGAGAGATAAAAGGTAAAATCATGTAACATTCTGTGTAGACAACATAGTAGGTAGAGGTGAGTGCTTCCCCTCACTGAGAATATGTAGAGCGCCATCATGGTAAGTTGCCCAAAAGGCTCATTTTCAACAGAGTTTTCATAGCAAATCAGTGCAGTAGAAGTTACATAAATGATGAATCTCAAATTCATAATGTAAAAAAAAAGTATTTCCATGTTCACACAGAGACTGTATTGAAAATAACTGGATTTCTTACCACCAGCTGCTACTGGGTTTTTGTACCCAGAATAGCAGAGACATTACAGATCAGTTAAAAGGAACTTTTGCAGCAAATGCAGATCTCCAGACTTCTTATGCCTTGGAAAGGTTTCTGAGCATTTACCAGTACTTTTTCTCCTCCTGGAAATAATGTAAAATTTGTTATGAAACCTTGACATCCTTCTATCAGATTTCCCTGTTACCAGATTCAAGGGGAGGAAGCATGTGATTCTTTCAACGGTGGTATGGAGCGGAGGAAGTAACCCATTCCTGGGAATTGCCTATGTGGTTTCTGGCACAGCAGCAACCCTGACAGGTTTTGTCATAACTGCCATCCACTTAAAACTCAGAAAAAAGAAAACATACTTTCAGAAGTAATAAGGTTCCCTGGCTTCCTGACCAAAGGCAAAGGCGTGCTGTGAACCAAGAACATGCAGCACAGACCTTTCATTGTTTCCCCTGACCTCTGGATCCGTTTCAGTAACGGATCTGCTGAACTTAAGCAAACTGAGGGGCAGTACTGTTCCATCATCCAAAACCAAACTTACCTGAGGCTGCCTTCTTACTAATGTATGTGCTCCTAAATTTGTTTCCTAGGAAACTTATAGTGAGATGAGCCTTCAAACAACAGATAGCATAGTGGGTTAGAATTGCAACGGCAAAGAAATTATATGGTACTAATATCTGGCTGGAAGTAAGGATCCATATTCAGTTCTTACTCAAGCCTTAATTCAGACAATATTTCTCTTGACTTAAATGGAGCATCAGATGGGTAAAAAGTGAGGTCTTGCTCCAACAAAAAGCTTGAGCAGGTGCAATTCGGTGCTGAAATGGCTTTGCTTAGGTTTTATATACCTTTTTTAGCTATCTTGAAAAAGCAACCAATTTAGCATAGCATATTCATCACAGTTTGATACCCAATTTATGATTTAATACAGGGTATTTTTTATGAGTTGGAGGTTTTTTTAACCAAATTTATTGGGTTTATCTAGGTACTGTGACTAACCTGCAAAGCTAGAGGGCATCAAAACATTTACATTTTTAAAATTATGATTTAATAGAAAGGTTAAATTAAAAACTCCTTTAATGCTAAACATTTTAGCAGAAACATCTACCTAATATAACCATTAGGCCAGAATTGCACTCCTACCTACCCCACTCTTACAAAGTTCACGAACTCTTACGTGACATGAAATGTCTGTTCCCCTGCCAGGCCCCCATTTCTGTGGTGTGGTGACTTACTGTCAATAGAAAACAACGCATCAGAAAATATGTCAACTGAAAGTTGTAAACTTCAGAAAGTAAACACTGCAGCTCATGAATAGACTAATCAATTTTCATGTTTCATGTTCAAAATTTTACACGTTTAGGAGTCATTTCCAGTCTCTCACAAAATGTAGGCACAGCAGTGAAGAATTTAGATCAAGTATACTATGGTATACATCTGAGTTTTTTAAAATAATTTTTCTGTTGCAAAAGGGCAAATGGAATAAACCACTTTAATTCCTTTCGTAAGTATTCTGTGTGCCTTACCTCCCCCTCCCCTAAAAAAACTTCAACACTAAACCAAGAGGGAAACCACAGACCAGAGCAAGAGAAGGGAATGTGGCACAGGGGGGCTGCGTGCCACTGTCAAGGGCACCCACATCTGCTTTTTAAAGTGTCTTAGGTACTTAGGACTTGTGACCTCTGACAGATAGCCCCTGGTGAATCTGACTGCAGTCACAGAACGTACTTTCCTGTAGTCTCTGCTTCATAATTGTGCCAGGAGCCAGCAGGAGGGGTGCTGCTCCACTTCACAGCCCGGCCTGTTAGTACACTCTCGCTCCATCGATGGTTGATGCTGACCTGCTGGGCTAAGGTGCGTGTCCCCGTCTGCTTTTCCCAGTTGGGGCTGGTCACCTCCATCAGAAAGCTGTAGAAACAGGGTTCCAGAATTTCAAACCCTTGCATCTAAATCTGTCAGGAGCTGTGGGAGAGCCCTGCCTGTAACTGGGCTGGACAATACAGAGCATGAAGCAGTACATTTAGCAATGTTTAAGCCCATTAGTCTAAATCACTTCTAACAATGAGATGTGCTCCTAAACCTTTTAAGTCCTTTTGAAAATATAATCCCATGCAGCCCTCTGGAGAGCCCTGATGGGAGTTGCTGCCAAAGCTGAATTTAGGATTTCTGGCTCCAGATGGACCCCAGGAGCCTCTTTGTTTTCTTTCTTTTTACTTTCTTTTTTCCTCCTGGGTTTTTTGTTTTGTTTTTTTTTTTTTAAATCCTCAAAGAAACTGACTTTCAGGAAACAGTGTCATCTGGGTGGTTAAGTCACAGTGCAGTTGTCACCGATTTTATTTCTTCATGAAATATGTAAATGGTAAAAATGTTAGTAAAAGAAGACTGAATAATGATGTATGTATTTGATTGAGTCAGTGTCTACCAGAAAAAAAACTTATTTGGAGAACACAGTCTAACAAGTAGTGCTTAGTTTGCCCATTATCTCCCAGACATGTGTGCAAGAATATCTTCTCTTGAAATGCACGTTGTCTTCAAACCCCTCCACAGGGAAGACCTGTCTTCAAACAAATCTTCCTCTTTCTAGTAATGTGGGAGTTGTCTAACTCTTTATTTATAAACCCAAAACCTCTTTTTCATCTTACCACAGATTTAAACACATCTTACATCTTTCTTGTACCCTCTGAACAATGAGTGTCCTTGGAGGCTGCTGCTTGAGCTTGGGCAGTTACTGTTGTTAACGCTGAGCAGCTATGCAATGTCTTGTCATTTGGGATTATACTGCCCAGAACAGAGCAATGGGAATGGCAGTTTTGATGAACTACTCCCAGCAGATGGAATCTGCCTTGCTCAAAAGGATGGGAAGTAAGTTTTAGCAACCTCCTTACACTGCCTTTTGTGCCAGTGCTGCAGCTGTGCTGTTGGTCTGCTCCTTGTGCCAGAGCTTGCATGAATGCGCCTTTTCGAGAAAATTTTGTAAACGTGTTCCTCGTTGCCCACATTGGGAAATACTCCTGCTCCTATATGAAATGTTTATTGGAATTGTTTGCTGCTGCTGCCGCCGTCTTATTTCCTCTTGTGCAGGGGCTGAAACAGAAGTGAAAGCCCTGGCTGAAGGACTGTTCTACCATAAGAGAAAGATAGTAAAAGCCATCATTGACTGCTCCTCTTTGTGGCATGTCTCAGGGGATTGTCCTCTTTTGTCAGCTGCTAACACCAGCAGGAAGCATGATTCCAGACAAAAATCCAGTGTGATTTTGAATTAATTTATTCTGGCTATTAGCAGATCGTTAAGTCAAATTGATCAGGGAAAGCATACTGAGATTTGGAGAGTGGAAGTATGAAGGAACCAGAGATGTTGCACTTTTACTGAGGTACAGATTGCTTTTAAAATACCTGGAGTGTCATGACCAATACTGTGTCTTTGGCACAGCGCTGCTTTTGCCCTGCACATTCGGTTTTATGAATTAAGTTTATGTGTCCTGAGTAAAGAAAAAAAAACACCTTGGTAAAACCTTTCAGAATTTAATTTTAATTAGCTTATCTGTCAGGCATACTTCCACCAACAGTAAGTGGGCCTTTTTCTATGCGAGATTAACTTAATGTGGATTTGTCAATTCAGAACAAAGATGTCCGGGTTTAAGATTGCTGCATGAAATTGAGAGCTGTACCTGGAAAGTGGAACTCAACAGCACCACTGTGAGTGCTTCATCACTAAGCCATAAAAGACTTACTGCCATTAGTTGTAATATTTCAGCATATCAAAATTATTAAATTGTTTGAATTCCTTTCTTACAGATGCCAGCACTTCAGAAAATAGCATAATACTTAAAAAAAAAAAAAAAATTGGTTTTGCTTGCAAAGGAAAATGCTTGTTCCTTTGTTACTGCCGCTTAAAGCCTTATCTTGCATCATTGCTGTATATTCAAGTCCCTTTGAGCTGATGGAACTTTGCCTATTTCCTTCACTCTCAAAAAAAGAAAGATGCGTGTCAGAAATGGGGATTAAGTTTGTTGGACTGAAATTAATGACATCATAGATGCTTAAAGTACTAGAAAGTGTGGGGTTTTTCTTTTCTTTTCCACATCTTTTTTCTAAAAGATAAATAGAGGAGGACATTATTTATTGCAATTTTTTCTCTTTTGGGGAGTGGATATTTAATAAATGGAAAACTGGACAAAGGATTCCTGTTAGTAGAGGTAATCTAAATTTATATAGTAAGCATGAACTAAAACAGGTGAGCTAAATGGGATATAAGTGTCTGGGTTTTGGTTTTTTTAATATATGTTTTCATTTGTAATTTTGAAACTCCCCAGTTACACATGGGAGCATTTTATCTTCTTGAGTTCTGTAGTTCAGTTTTAAAAGTGGCAAAAATATCTGGAGGTGAAAAGTTCCCATTATTATGAAAAACTTACATGCAATTTAAATCTCATTTCTAAATTACAGGGAGGTTTAAGAGAGTGCTGTATTATAATGTCAAAAACTGTTCTCCTTTTGGTTGCCAGCTCCCTTTAGGATTGAATTTCATTAATGGGATATATATCTATATATAGAGACATAAAAGGGAAACAGGATTTACAGGATAGTTCAGTAGCACTTCAGTTACAGAATTTTTCCAAGTCTTTTTCAGGCTTTACAGTTTCATGCGTATACGTCCAGTATCTGTCTGCCTCGGTTGGTTTTTCTGTGTTCTAAACATAGACATTTGCTTAACTCATCTCATCTAAAAATAAAGGGATGAGTCCTTCATGTGAAACAGATTAGCATGATTGCAGACCTATAGAATCTGGAAAAGTCAGCTACATGCTGCATCTCTTTTATATAAACAGCTGTGTTGCATGGAGATTATTAATAATAGTGTTTGGATGGGGTGCCGTGTATTTTAACGACATAGTACAATGTAAAAGCTTTCTCTCTTTCCTCTGAGAAATCAAACTACTACCAGAGTAAAGTCAAAGATAGCAGTTTGGGGAGGGGAAGGCTTGGAAAGTTTTGATAATGTGAAGAGGGATTGCATATCAATTTGGATTCCCATCTAAAATAGGGGAAAGCGGTTCCTTGTCACATGATAAGAGGGTGCCGTCTTCCTCAGCTGGGAGCAGTTTGTTATGAGAGACAGAGCTGGTCTGAGAAAAAACTGTGATCGCACAAGGAGGGAGAATGGAGGAAGGTGCAAAGTAGTTTTTTTGCTCTTGGATATAGAGGCAAAGAAACGTGGCTGATCTGCTTAAGACGATAGTGTATCATGTGATCTGGGAAGCTCGTATGATTTTGGGGAGCAGCCAAGTAAAAGAAATTCTTAGTTTTCAGTGGAAAGTACACATTTTCTGAACTATGGTGCATCGTTTTTGAGCTAAGGTGGTCTGACTCA